TTATTAAGTTTTTAAAGACTGCTTGCAAATCTTTCTTTGTTTTTTAGAGTGTAACTGGCGGGGGGGCTGCTATCAATCCCATTCTCATAATCTTCATCTTAAAAAATATATTTCATTTTCATTTTATGTGTGTGAGTATATTGCCTGCATGTATGTGAATGCACCCATGTTGTGCAGTGCTGCAGAGGTCAGAAGAGGACGTTGGATTCCCCTGGAACTGTACTTAAGGATGGTTTCTAGCTACCATGTGGGTGTTGGGAATCAAATCCGGGTTCTCTGCAAGAGCAATCAGTGCTCTTAACAGCTGAGCCATCTCTCCAGCCTCCATAATCTGCATCTTTTAATTAAACAGAAAAAAAAAAAGATGGAGGAAAAAATTTTGAAAGGGAAAAAGACCTGGTGGTATAAAAATTTTAAAGAATTTCTACAACTGAATTCATTAATTGTTTAATTTAAATCTGAATAAAATATTTCCCTTTTCACTCTAGTGTTAGAAATTCAACCATTGCTTCATATACACTAGATAATTGTTCTACCTCCTAGTTACATTACCAGCCCTCATATGTTTCAATGGAAATAATTTGTACTTATAAGTTTTTTTTGGGGGGGGGTTCCTTTTGAGACAGGGTTTCCCTGCAGCCCCAGCTGGCCTGGAACTCACTATGTAGACCAGGCTGGTGTTGAACTCACAGAGATCTATCTGCCTGCCTTTGCCTCCAGAGAGCTGGGACTAAAGGCATGTGCCACCACACCTGTATGTGCTTATAGCTCTTAAATATGTCCATGCTAACAGAAATGCCAAATACAGAATTAAGAGGGCAAGAGCTACAGAGATGGCTCAGCACTTAAAAGTAAGTGATGCTGTGGAAAAGGACCCACACTGGGCAGGTCACAACACTTGTACCTCCAGTTGCAGGGCAGCTGATGCCTCTGGCCTTTACTCACAGGCACATACCCTCCCCCCACAGACACACATAATTAAAAATAATAAAATAATTTTTATAAAAGATGGTAGGGAGCTGGAGAGATGGCTCATCGATTAAGAGTAGTGGCTGCTCTTGCCCAGAATACAGGTTTGATGCCCAGAACCCATGTGGTGGCTAGCAACCATTTCTAAGGAATCTGATGCCCTCTTGCCTCTGCCAGCCTCTGCCGGCATTGCATGTACATGATGCACTTATGTCCATGGTGACAGAACACTCATACACATAAAATTTATTTTAAAAAAACAATGGCAAGACATTAATATAAAAAGGAGAGATGAAGTAGAACCTATAGGTTTAAAAATATTCCAGGTGAAAGGGGTTGAGGGAGGTGTTGGTCAAAATATATAAACTTTCATTTAGGATAAATAAGTTCAAAAGTCCTGGTCATAATTAGTAATAATGTATTATATACTTGAAATTATTAAGTGGATATATTTTTAGTGTTTTGCTAAGGAGGAAGTTAATGTATGTATATTAATACATATGGTACATAGCTTGCTCATTTTCGTTTTAGTATTTTTGCTCTTCTAGGTATCAAACCTAGAGCTTCATAGATACTAAGCAAGCATTATACCAGTGAACTGTATCCTCAGCCCCAAGTAACTTGTTTTAGTCATTCTATCATGTGTACCAGTTTATATACCATAGATATCTATAATTTTTAGTAGTCAATCACAAATACAAATAACAAAATGAAAAATTTTTAAGAGACTTAAGAGGCAGTGGTTCAATGGGCAAGTTTACTTTGTAAAATGTCTTCAGACTGAGCACTTAACATCTGGCTATGTACTTTTTTCACTTTTTCATATAACTATCATAATTTCATTGTGAGCACAGGCCTGTAATACCAGCACTTGGGAGGTTGAGGCAGGAGGATCACAAATTTGAGTCCAGCCTGAATTACATAAACTGTTTTAGGCCAGCTTGGCCTACATTGGGAGACCTTGCCTGTCAAAACAAATAAACCAACAAACAAGGTTTCCTGGAAAAGTAGATACCAGAGGTAGATCAGTAGAGCTCTGTGTGCTTGTATATGTCTGTAATCATAGCATGTGGGAGGCTGAAGCAGGAGGGTAGTCTTGAGTTCAAGGCAAGTCTGGGCTGCATAAAAGAGACCCTATCTCAGAAGGAAAACACACACACATACACACACACACACACACACACACACACACACGTCGCAGGCGTCATGAGGATCAGCACAATGTAATATACGGGGTTTGGTTTGGACTGTGTTGAGATATTTAGAGTATTGGTATTTGGTTATATGAATGAATTATTATTGCTTTAAGAGTAATAGTAGTCTAGTAGTTTTTAAAAGCTAGTTCTTACAGTGTAGAAATGCAGGGAAGTACTTAATGGAGACAATTAGTATCTGGGATTGGTTTCAATAATCCAGTGGAGTGGAATGAATAAGGAGAATACAGAGAAAGTAAGATGAGCCAGATTTCAACAAATGTTAAAACTGGAGATGACTACGTTGGGGCTCATTACACTATTTTTTCTTATGTCTGATATTTACTGTAATAATATAGATATTTATATATGTACATAAATTTAAACGGACCCTTCATTTCTCACACTAATAATTTTTCACTCTTATTCATAATATTCTTAACTGTAGCATTTGGAGGAAAGAAGGAAACTTAGGAAATTTTCATTACTCTGTTTAGACGCAGGATGGCACTCTTTGAATAAGTAATTAGTCAAAGTCCACTTCTCACTGATTAAGCTACTTTACAGAGCTGCTACTACCTAGGGCAGTTTATCTTAATTGAGAGTGAAAGATTTTTAGGTAGATTATAAAGATAATTAGTGATGACACTTTGACTTTACTTCTCTGTGCTGGCTTACCTATCTTATACCAGTGTTTGAAAAACTAAGGAAGGTTAAGATTCATGCATATTTAACAGGTGATTTTATGAAAAGACAGCTCTGAGCCTGCTTTTATTTTCGGCGTTTATTATTATTGCTGTGAGGTTTAGTCATTTTGATATATTTCACACATACACGCACACACAGAGCTCAATGTATATTTAAAACTGTCAATGCTAACTACAAAATGTATTTCTAAGTTTAAAATGGCTTTTAAACAGTACTACTGATTAAGGTCAAAATGAAGACTATTAGGTTATCGCTGTCTAATCCTGGAGGAAACATTGAAGTAACTGCATTGTTGGACTTTTTCAATGTAATTCGTGCCTTCTTTAAGCCAGCTATTCATGAATGCACCAGAAGAATACACCTACTACCTCCGGCATAGGAAGGAAAAAAAATTCAAATGGGCAATAACGGTAGCAGAAGCTAGAAATTTAAGAGCTGGTATTTAGAAAGTTCCTCCTCCTCCTCCTTTTCCCTCTGGTCCAATTCCCTTTCAGTTTCTGGCTATCGGAAACTGACTTGGTGTTAACCAAAGAGTGGAATTTCAAGGCTCAATTTCCCCCTCCCCACCCTCGGAAAATCTTAACTCTCAAGCCCACACTCCACGGTAAAGACAGATAAATGATGCAGCAGATTACACCACTGAAAGGCAGCATCTATCCTGAGCTGTTTTCACATTGTGTCCTGTTTCCGTTATGTGTGCCAGACGTTGTTTGCTTGCTTAGGACACAGAAAACATATTGGGCATTTTCTCCACAATTTAATGTCAGTGGCTTTCTTCCAGCAAATGAAAGCGAAAGTGCTACATTGTGGTGGTATTTTATCCTTTTTTAAAAGCTGCATTGGCAGCTGGTGTGTAAGGGGTGGAGGGGGAGGGTGGGATTGGGAAGCTTGAAGAACCAGTTTTAAGGTTTTGTTTGTTTATCTTGAGATCGCAGCTGGGTTCCTGTTTCCTCCCCTTCTTACCTTTTTTTGGGGGGGGGGCTGATTTCGGATTTATTTTTCTTTAGGCAGTCATTGAAGTTTCATTCCGTGTACTGACTTCAAAACAAAACATTTCACTTGTGCCTTTCCCGGTTGCAGTTGAAAACATCACCCAGTCTCACTCTCATCTGGAAATAATGCAAACTTCATTTTCACCACCTTCCCCCCACCTCTTCCTTTTAAAGCTCCACATAACCTGAAATCCATAATCGCGTGGAAAAATGTGCAGATCTCAGTTTAGTTTTCGTTCTTTGGGGCGGGGGTAACTCACTTGTTGAAATATATATTCAACTACACATGTAATTTCTGAGATTTGAAATCTGCTTGCACCACTGGTCTGAAGTTTGCTCTGACTGCTCAGGAGGCAAGTGTTTATGTGCAACTTTGAACGTTTTTATTGTACAGACTTCAAAAATATACAGAGAATGACACCCGAGAGTTTAAAAAGTGACATTAGTCTATCTAAAGTCACCCAACCTCTCTTCCCTCTTTTCTTCAAGAAACAGTAATCACAAACTAGACAAGGCTCTCTAAAAGAGGTTAGAGGTAGAGGAGGAAAGAGGCGGAGTGGGTTAGAGGAAAGAGGTTAAAGGGCCAGAATTTCTCATTCACGGGGTGGAAAAGTTGACATTGTCTAAGCCTTTCTGAATGGCTGGTAGTTGGTTACCCCGATTGTACCTCTACCTCCCCTCCCCCTCCACGTGACGACCCAGGACACATGCGCACCCGACGCAGCCCAGGCACATCTGCAGACTGACGTCAGTTTGTTCTGCCTCTGAGGAAAGCTGCCAAAATTTTCTTCTGCTGCAATTGAAGTTGGCTGGGGGCCGGTAGTGAGCTCTAGGGCTACTTCAACAGAACTTTGCTGCCCTTCCTGCTCCTCTTGTCCTCTTTTCTCTTGATACCTTTTGATGCTCTGCACATGTTATTTGCATAGCAAAGGCACTAAGCTGTCCAGGAAGAGAGGGCACCACTTCCACCCCCAATAAGCCTTTTCCCTTTTCTTTTCTTTTCTTTTCTTTTCTTTTTCCTTTCCTTTTTTTTGGGGGGGGGAGGGTGGGGGGGAGGGAGAGA